AACCATCTTGGTGGACTGGAAATGAATTCCAGGGATAGACCGTGTTGAATTATGTCCAGGACCCAGGCGTCTGTGGTGGTGACCTCCCATTGAGTGACAAATAGGAACAGCCTTCCCCCTATGGGAGGATCCACTCGGGAGTCACTTCCTACGGAAGGGACGTCACCTCCTCGAAAGGGCCGTTTGGACTGAAACTGTTGCCTGGGTCTTGAGGCCGGTCTATCGACCGGACGGTCTTGTCTGGGAGTGAAGGGTTGTGAAGGTTGCATAGTCGAAGGAGTAGGGGCAGATCGAAAGAACTGTCTACGGTTATAAGGATTAGTCCGCCTATCGGACCGTTTGGTAAGGTGGGCCAGAATCATCTTTTTTTTATCATTTTCGGTCAGAAACGGGGCTAAGGCATCCCCGAATAATTTGCTACCCTGGTATGGGGCTGCTGCCAAACGCCACTTGGACTTGGCGTCTTAGCCATAGCATGTGACGGGCCGTCACGTTGGACGCCAAGGACCTGGAGGAAAACCGGGCAGCGTGTAGAGTCGCATCGGAAGCATATTCCGTTGCGGCCACTAACTTGCTCAGGTCCTGATGTGTGCGGACATCGTCCGGGGGGATCCTGGCCTGGAGCTGACGAAGCCAGATAAGGGCAGATCTAGTGAAAAATGAGGCTGAGGTAGAAGCCCTGATAGACCACGCCGCCGCCTGGTGTGTCCTCCTAAACGCCAGTTCTGATCTGCGTTCCATAGTTTTTAAGGCCTCAGACATATCCCCTGAAATAGTGGTAGGGGAGAAAAGGTGAGACAGGGGCTCATCCACCGTGGGCACGTCCAGTGGCTCTGCTAAATCTGAGGTCACGCTAAACAACTTTTTATCGTTCCCACCTGGAAGAGGAAAGGTACCCGGGGAAGCCCATTGTTTCTTAACTGCATTGAGGAATAATGGTGGACAGGGAACATGGTGTTGAGTGACATCCGGTTCGACAAAAACGGGGTCCGCCTCTGAATCTGTTGCAGTTGCCGCTGGAGCGGACCGGTCAGGTCCCACGTGCGCTACAGAGCTAGCCTTATGAAGTAGGGGTAGAAAGAGAGATGGATTAAATAGACCGCCAAACGGGGCGGATCCGGGGCCGATTCCTCCTCCTCCGACCACGAGGCGTCAGCGCCTGCTCCTGGGTTAATGAAACCCCACTATACGAAGAATGGGAGGGGGAGGGAGGATCGTGAGAACTCTGATGAGCTGGGTGAGAAAGAGGAAGGGAAAGCAAGGAATCCGCCCTGGGTACCAGTGGAGACCTGGCCGCGAGAGCCCTCTCCACCGCCTGAGCCCCAGGACTTGGAGCCTATCCTCTAGGGGAGGAAGGGTGGACTCCTCCCCTCTGAGCCCCGCAGCTGTGGACGTGAAGGTGGCCTTTGGGGCCTGCTGGACCCGTGGGGTGGTCGGAGACCTGAATGTATGTGTGTCAGGTTCCAGATTGGGCTGACCAGAGGAAGTAGAAGGCTCTTCTGCCCAGACTTCCTGGGCAGAAGAGGAGAGACCGAGAGGCAAATCAAAAAAGGTGGACTCAGTCTGAGCAGTCTCGGCCCTGGCCTGTTTTTGAGCCTTTGAAAACTCTTTTTCCAATGTCTGGTGTCTCCTGCTGGCCTGTTTTTCAGCCAATTTGGAGGTTTTCCCCCCAGAGACAGCCTTGGGTTTGACCTTGGCTGAGATCCTACCAGTAGCCTCTTGGCTAGGGGACCTGTGCCTTTTCTGGACGGAGGAAGGAGGGGAGGCGTCCTTGGATTGGGAGGCCATGTTATCCTCCATGCTGGTATAAAAGCTTCAGGTGCACGAGAGGGTACCCCTGGAAAAAGGATCAATTGGCTAATAAGGGTGTAGGGAAACGGCTGGTAAGAACTGCCCTACCCCCCCAGTCATCGAACAAGTGGTATCCAAAAGACCGGTCCTACTTGCAGCCGCTATAATTTCCCCCCGAGGGTGGACTGCGGCCTGCTAGTGAGGCTTGCTGTGTTGCCAGGCCAGCAATGTAAGGAGATGGCAACTAATACAGAGTCAGAGGCTGGGAACTACTGTGTTAATTAGCTAGCCAAGTGGTGACCAGGACTGGAGACACCAGAGGGCCCAATTAAATCAATTGGGCCTATGCAAGGAATGAAACAGGAAAAAGACAAATGCCACAAGAGGAGTCTCCAAGGATGACAAGAGAGAGATCCCAGGCAATCCTTGGTTACAAGGAACCCAGGAAGGCCTTTGGTCAGAAAAGGCCTCAGTAGGGCCTTGGGCTGAGCATGAGGAGCTTCCAAAATGGTGGCTTTGGGAGGATGACGAAGCTTCCAAGATGGCAGCCGTAACCGATGGGGCTCCTGCCTAGGCCTGGGCCTTCTATTTAAGATGAATTCTTTTTCAGGAGCTGATGTACAATGAAGGAGAGATGCCCTTTGAAGGAAAGGCTAACAAAAGGTGAAGAGATTGGGGGAAAATCCCTTCCCCCACCCCACCCCCGCCTCCCCTTGTAGCTGGCAAGGACTTGGGATGACCACGCGGTCCCCAAAATGGTGGCCACATCCCAAACTCCGTTCACCCCCTTCGGCTCCAAACGGACTGCAATTTGCTCACCCAGACGCGCAATGCGAAGAAAGCGGCATGGGCAAAACGGCCTCCCCAGCCAATTGGCAGGTGCGATTATTTGTGAGACGAGGCCCTGCGGCCTCCACGGAGCTGAGCCGATCGCCGTCAGACCGTCGGAGCTGCAGCTGCAAGCTCCGAGGATGAGGTGAGCTGGGGGAAGGAGTGGGGGGGGGATTTGCAACAGCGCTGAGCCCAGCAAGGAAAGGGAAAAACGGAAACCTCCGTTTGTTGCTGAGTCCCGATGGGGATCAGATGAAGGGAGAGCCCTCTAGAGGAACGCTGGTCCCAGCGCTACTCAGAGGGCTAGAATTTAAGGAGTAATGGATAATCCACCAATAAATTAAGATCTACCTGCCTGTGAGCCAAACATGCACGTCTGTTCTGGGCAAGATCAAGTCGAGACTGGGAAAACAGGCCCAGGACAGGCGTGGCAAGTTTGGCTGACTTGATCTGATTGGGCAGGAGGATTGAGTTAACCCATTGGTGGATTATCCATCTCCTGTGCTGGAGAAATACATTTTTAAAAATCTTAGAATTTGCCAGTGAATTGTGAAATTTGGTAGTCAGGCCGGAAAACATTCAGCCCACCACTTGTGTCAATAGATCCTTCCACATTATCATCTTTTTTTTTCAGAATAGACGTGTCACAACTATTACCTCCTAGAAGTTTGGTTTATTAGTCTGTTCACTGCAACAAATAAAGTGTTCACTTTTAAACTCTTTCTCTGCTTTCCCAGTCAATTTTCTGAGGCTGGAACGTTGCTGCTTCTTTTTGTGAGGCCTCTGGCTACAGGGAGCAGACAATAAAAAAAGAAAAATGGTATTTACTATTCTTCCAAGCACATTTATACTACAACGTCAAATAAAAAGTTATCAGAATGTTTATTGCTCAGCTAAAAGTTAGATTCAGGGCTAAGATTTTATAAAAATGAAATATTAAAAAAAATCCTGGAAGATATATGACAGATTGTATACTTGTCACCAAATTCTCTCCCCAACATCTGCCTTTGGTTATAAGAACCATCTATAATAGGGGTTCCCAACCAGGGATGCTTGCACCCTCTAGGTGTGCGATATATTCCAGGGGGTGCGAAAACTTGGATTTTCAAAATTAAAGTGTATATGCATAATTCGTCCTTATTTCAAACTTTTGTAAGGGGTGTGAAAATATATCAAAAGTGTTCTAGGGATGCGGGGCATAGAAAAGGTTGGGATCCACTGATCTATAACAACAACTAGTATAACAATTATCATGTTTGGAATAACAAAAGCTAAAGTTCTTTTATCAGGAAAAAAGATGGAAAGCTGGACCATTCCATCTCTCCTGCTGAAAGGCCAGCTCCATTAGTCTACTGTTCAGTATCCAGATGATCTTTACAGAATAATTATTTTAAAAATTGTATCTCAAATTGCTTTTCCCTTTTCATACTCATCTGTTCTTTTTCTTTCATACCTTTTTGACTGTAAACCAGTAGCTTTTTTTCTCCATATCTTAGTAAACATAATTAAGTTTAATTTGGATTTAGCATGTTGTGTGATTCTAACCGTCATGGTTTTTAAACCATCATTCATAACTTGTGTGATATGGGAAGCCAATCATCTAAGGCTAAACAAACCAGGAGTTAGCCTAAAGTATAAATCATAAAAATACACACATGGTCAGGAATACATGGTTTTTCAATCCCAGTTTTTTCTAGTTGTATTCACAACTCGTTGTAAAGCAGGTTAGCTTGAAAAAAGTGAACGGCTTTTGAACTGATCTGATCTCGTTAACGGTGCAGGACGGTGCAGTCCAGGACAAAGCTGCACTTTCAGTGCACTATTGGTATTTTAGGTGCAAAAAAATCGACGAGCACTGTACCAAACGGATGGAGTACTGAGCCAGCGACCTTATGTGTGAAGCCGCGGTTCAATGCGAACTTACCCGACCTTTGTACATTGATCCTTGCCCATAGCAGAAATGCAAAAACATGTAAACGTAGAAAAGCGGATTCTGTATTTTAGGAATTATCGCTATTAGCAAGCCTAAATAGATCGACTAACAGTTGGCAACGCTAGAACGACCCTATATTTGAACATATCCTACAGAGAAAACACGATTTGGAGGAAACTGTAGCAGAGTCAAGAAAGTTTCCTTCTGTGCAATTTGCACAAGAACTCTCGGCACCTCCTCGAATTGTGTAAGGAGGGATTGCGAAACCTGAGGAAAAGAGTAGAACATGCGTCAGCTCCTCCCCCAACGGACCAAAACTAACTGCAGCCGTCCAATGGAGAACGCCGAACTGACGCCACGCATTTTTTCGGTGTTTTCAGAGATGAAGCCTCTCTAGGCAGCCGGCCGGTCGCTCGATAGTGGGGCGGGACTGAAGGCTGACGCGCTGACGCGACTGCCATCGGGCGGGTCCCGTGATGGCTGGCGTTGGCGCCGCTGCCGCGGTTGCTCTGTCGCTTGCTGCGCTCCCGGCGACTGCTTTAGGAGCCGTTCTCGGCCGCCGCAGCAGTGCTACCATGGTTGACGACGAGTCCGCCGAGTTCGCCAACGAACAGTGAGTTAAGGAGGGGGAAGTGAGGCTGCAAGCCGGTTGGCCAGCGATGTCACCCAGCGCGCTATTGAGAGGCCCTCCCTCGTCGGCTCAGTCTGACGCGCCGGTGTTCCCAGATGCTCCCGCTGGCCCGGCTTGCTGTCCTAGAACTGGAAACTTGCCTGTTTCCGTCGCCGGCACGCGAATAGCCTTTTCTAGGATGCATAATTCTGATGTTGCCTCAGTGACAAGTGCATGATAACTGTGTTTTTGTCACAGTATTACAGTAAAAATAACAGTATTTCCAAGGTGCTTAGCAGTAATGTTGGGTCCCAGAGACCCTCATAGCAAAATGTAGTCCCCCAAATCTACTGGTCCCAAATGCGTTGGGAATGGAATTCCCAAAATTCCAGATGGGAGCTAAACTTTGGTACTTCACATGGGTGGTTTTAGGTCAATGGCAGATGACAAGTACATTTGTAGGAGCGGGTTCTAAGTAGAAATAGACTAGAGGAAGAAGTGGCAGATATTCCTAGCAGATAGTCTAATAATATCTTTATAAAGATATTCTGGATAAGGAAGACAATTGAATAACAGCTATTCCAATCCATATGTACACTTTTTATAACCTCAATGAAGTTTTATTATGATTTTCTTAGATGAATTTTCATGAGGAAGAAGGGACAATAAATGACAGTTGATGAAATCTGAGTCTGCCAGTGATACTGGGGCAGAACTATATTTCTTTCATTATTTAGAATTTTAAGCCCAGCATCTGTCCTGAAAATACCCCATAACTCACAGGCCACTGAGTGATAGAACAGCTCCAAACCAATGCAGAAGTCCAGGTCTAGGAATAAAGGCTTATTCATGAATCAGGAATTTCTCCAGATTACACCTTGCTTCTTGAGGCCTAATGAATGTCAATTGAAGTTGGGTGGAGTCCACTGCTACCTTTGCATAAAAGTCTTGGGCAAAGACAATTAAATGTTGACATCATTTATAATCTTCCTTTATATGGGATTGCCCAGACACAGGTAAAATGTTATTTTTATTATTATTTTTACATTTTACATAAATCATAAAAAATGACAAACACCTAAATGCGCTAAAAAAAATCCCACACACAATTAACTAAACTAACTTTAAACTTAGAGAAAAATTAATAGAAATGGAAAGACAGTTATAATCCTCCAAAAGAAGAAACAGGAAAAAGTCAAAACTTATGAACAGGTAGTCCTAAACTTACAACCACAATTGAGCCCAAAATTTATGTTGTTAAGTGAAACATTTTTTAAGTGAGTTTTGCCCCATTTTATGATTTTTCTTTCTTAAGTTAATCATTGCAATTGTTAAGTTAGTAACACAGTTGTTAAGTGAATCTAGCTTCCCGATTGATTTTGCTTGTCAGAAAGTCACAAAAGTTGATCACATGACCCCAGGACACTGCAACCTTCATAAATATGAACCAGTTGCCAATCATCTGAATTTTGATTATGTGACCATGGGGATACTTCAATGGTCATAAGTGTGAAAAATGGTCATAAGTCACTTTTGTGTATTAATCTGATTATTACAAAATATTATTATACAATTATTATACAATATCACAAAATCTCTCCCATAGTAGTACGTATTTCTTTCTTTTTTGATTAGTAATAAATATTGCCTTAACAATATTAAAGGAAGTATTTAATGCCACACATTTCTGAAAGTCTTTCCTTAACCTAATTCTTTTAAACACTCATGTTTCAGTATAATCACATTTTCTGATAAAAAGTCAGATTTTGAAGCTTTGGTATATATAGTAATTCAACATCATATTAATATATTTAATATTTAAAGATTTTCCATAAATCTACTTATATGTTAGCATGCCAAAAAGATATCATATAATGACGATCATATCAGATGTGATGCTAAACTCTCAATTTTTACACCTCAAACCTAGAAAATCTGATCAATTTTTCTTAATCAGACATTTAGGCTGTTCTTGATAGTTTATTTTATTTATTTTATTTATTTATTTTATTTTATTACATTTATATCCCGCCCTTCTCCTTACGGACTCAGGGCGGCTAACAATCGGATAAAAATACAAAAATTACAATACAAGTTTAAAATTAATTAAAAGGGAAATATTTAAATCTAATCCAATTAAAATATAATTAAAACCCCCTCTAAAATCCCCTAGGCCAGTCCCGCAAGCTGGAANCCAGCTGACGGGCGCAGGTCTGGGGGTCGCCAGCTGACGGGCGCAGGAGGTAGGCACCGCGGCGGCCTCCCAGCCGCTTGCTTCTTCGGCTGGAGCAATTGCAAGGGCTTGCATGGTCCCCAAGGGCCGCTGACGCACTCCCCGCCGCCGGCGACCATGCAAGCACTTGCAATTGCTCCAGCCGAAGAAGCAAGTGGCTGGGAGGCCGCAGCGGTGCCTACCTCCTGCGCCCGTCAGCTGGCGACCCCCGGACCTGCGCCCATCAGCTGGAATGTCAGGCAATGCTTTGGCCGGTGCGGAGGGCGAAGGGGAGGCCGCTGCAGCGCCGAACTCCTGCGCCCGTCAGCTGGCGACCCCCGGACCTGTGCCCGTCAGCTGGGAGGTCTGGAGACGGAGACGGCTGGCGTGGAGGGCGATGGGGAAGCGGTGGCTCGGCGGGCGGGGTCCTGCCTGCACGTGAATGTCAGGCCCACCCGCCCCATCTGTAAAAGAAAAAGTCTTCCGCCCAAGCATAACGCCAGCAGTTCTGTGCCACAGAGGCTTGAGACACGAAGGCGCGGGACGCGGAGCGGCGTAGTGCGGTGGGAGGCGGCATTCGCTCCATAAGACGCACAGACATTTTCCCCCATCTTTTTGGGGGGGAAGTGCGTCTTATAGAGCGAAAAATACAGTAAATGCAGCAGTCCTGTGAGGTCCACTTTTTCCTAATGATGTTCATAGTACATCCAACTGTACTGTATATTGCTCTCATGTCATCAGTGAAGCAGGTTAAGTAGAAATGTGAATACCTAGAATTAGTCTTCTAGGGAATACTCTAGACCAGGGCTTTTCAACCTTTTTACCAATTGTACCACTTTTAGGATATGGCAATATTCGAGTACCACCTAGCAAGGTGTCAAAAACTTGATGACCAAAAGAAAAACCTGTTCAAAGTTGCAATTGCATTGAAATGACTTATGACCACTTTTCATGCTTATGACCAGCATGCCCAGGGTCATTTATTTATTATTTATATTTCTACCCCGCCCTTCTCCCTGCGGACTCAGGGCGGCTTACAGCCTTTTAAAAACAAATACATAAATACAAAAATACTAAAGTTAAAATGTTAATTAAAATGAAATATTATTAGGCCATTATTATTTTTTAAAAAATTATTATAAAACCAAGCTAAAAATAACCCTTAGGCCAGTCCTGCCAACTTAAATAGCCATGTCTTGAGGGCGCGGCGGAAGGAGGGGAGATCCGGGATCACCCGGATCTCTGGGGGTAGTTCGTTCCATAGGGTGGGAGCTCCAACCGAGAAGGCCCTCCCCCTGGGGGTCGCCAGCCGGAACTGTCTGGCTGACGGCACCCTGAGGAGACCCTCTCTGTGGGAGCGTATCGGCTGATGAGAGGTAATCTGAGGCAGAAGGCGGTCTCGGAGATAACCAGGTCCGATGCCATGGAGCGCTTTGAAGATGATAATCAGCACCTTGAAGCGCACCCGGAAAGCCACCGGCAGCCAGTGCAGCTCGCGCAGCAGCGGCGTTACATGGGAGCGACGGGTCACTCCCAACACCGCCCGCGCGGCTGCATTCTGGACTAANCTCCTCCCAAGGCTGCTGCTTTTTTTCTTTCTCCCTCTCCTGCCCAAACTGTCTCGTTTTATAGGCTGTCCTGTCTCCGCGCCCCCCTCCTTTCTCATGGGGGAGGGTGAGCCAGAAGTGAGCCTGGGGCCTTTGCAGTTCCAGAGGACTCTCTCACTGTAAGTCCTTGCCTGTTGTGGTTCTTCCCCCCCCCCCCCACTACACTTGGCTAGGCAGGGCTGCGTACCACCTGCCACTCATTAATGTACCACAAGTGGTACGTGTACCACCGGTTGAAAAGCCCTGCTCTAGACCAGGGGTGTCAAACTGCCAGCCCCCGGGTCATTGCATCATGCAGAGGCCGCACCCACCCCAGCTCTGGCAATGCAAAAAAAGTTGTGATATGTCACAACACATAACGTGACGCGGCATGTTTGACACCCAGACTGATGTTAGACTACAGGTAGTCCTTGACTTTCGGTTCGTTTAGTGACCATTCAAAGTTACAATGGCATTGAAAAAACTGTCTTTTCACATTTACAACTGTTGCACCACTCCATGGTCACATGATCAAAATTCAGATGCTTGGCAACTGACAGGTATGATGGTTGCAGTGTCCCAGGGTCATGTGATCACCTTTTGTGACCTGACAAGCAAAATCAATGGGGAAGCCATTTAACGACTGTGTTACTATCTTAACCAGTGCAAGTGATTACTTAACAACTGTCACAAAAAAAGTAATAAAATGGGGAAAACTCACTTAACAAATGTCTCACTTAGCAACCTAAATTTTGGGCCCAATTGTGGTCATAAATCAAGGACTATCTGTACTCCTACTAACTGATATTCCATAGGAGGATGCTCATTTGTTCTTTTAGAGCAGACATTTTAGGAGCTCTAGTTTAAAGCAGATATTTTTGGATGATGATTTTACTATTTTCTGTGAGATTAACAAAACATTTCAGAATCAAAGGGGTTCACTTTGGCATCTTTGTTTACAGAATTTTGAATGTTGGATGATAAGAAATTCATGAAAAACTATTTAAAAGTTTTAAGTGCATTATGCAGTGACACCAAAATAGTTAAATATTTTTAAGCAAGCTTAAGGAAATTAAATTGTAAATGTAGATGGATACAATAAATCTATACAGTATACAGCTACATATATTATCTGTTAAGAAAAATAAGTCATTTTCCCAATCATTTCATACTGCTTTCTATAACTAACAATATTTTTTATTATCAGTAGGCTCTTTTAATTATTTTAAGGACAAAACAGAAAAGAGGCACAGTTGTAACCAAATCCTATAAAACTGAATTCATGCAAAATCTCCAAAACCTTCAATGCAGTCTTACCAATAGTATTTATATATAATCAATTATGCAAAATTTATTTCAGTTGGAAATTTTATGAGAACAATTGGTGTCATCTGATAAATCAGGAAGAGTTCTCAATCCCAATTTGAATTATTAATCAGAATTCCTTTCAGTCAGCATTTCTCACAAATTGATTGTATAATTTCAGTCCTTCAAGCATTCAACATTAACCTTCTTACAAGGTGACATTCAGAATGCCTGAATTTGAAGAAAGCATAACAAAATTCTTAGCATATGTTCTATAACAGCCTTCAACCTAAAGTGTCATTGTCACATATAGAACTGCTAAAAAAGTGTAGAAAAGTACTGTGGTTGGCGTTACTTATTATAATCCCATCTTATTTGGCAAATCAAGGGCCAGTGTAACTATCCAGTTTTATGTGCTGTATAGTAGTTCCTGAGTAGAATAAATTGTATTATTTTTAATTTGATTCTTGAATTCTTATTTCTGAATGCTTTTAAAAACCAATAATTATAATAAGGAACTTGTTATTTTCCCTCTCACCTAATGTAGCAACAAATTGTAGCAATGCCAAGGCCTCTTGGAACAGATGTAGAGTAGGCTTCCTAGAAATATTGTGTAGGATTTTTCTTCCTTTCCTAGATATTCCTCTCTAATACAGGGAACTATAACCCACTACTTTATTTTAGAGATAGTTTTACATTTAAGAAAGGAAAGTACATATAAACGGGAAAAGAAGACTGTTCTGAGACAGCTTCAGATAGCTACCTTGCACCGAAAACCATTATGATTCTAAATGTATGCGCCATTTGTGACCGAATAACTAACACATAATGAAAGCAGTTTAAATTGTCCTGCAGTGTATCTCATTTGTACTTTTAATCTAAAACTAGGAAGTAACCTGATACTGGTTCAAAAGATACAAGGTTCTATGGCCAGGGGTTCTGTCCCCCTTGGAAGTGTACTTTACAATACTCTTTGTATTCTTCAGAGTCATAGGCTTGCTGTCCATGTTTTTTAAAAAATATGAGATTTTATACAATATTTATTTTAAAAAAACTTTAGCGAAAACATTTAATACAGTATTGTATCTAAAGCTGTTTGATTATAAGATAGCACCTTGAACCTCAGTACCAAGTGAACTACCTGTGACAATGGTAAATTCAAAAGTATAGCCAGATTCCAATCTTATTTTTGGGAGGAAGACTGCCCATTTAGAAAATAAAATAAAATCCATATATCTGGACAGGTAAATCATTCAAAATCAGTATTTTTATCTTGTACTTATTCATCAATTAGTTACTCTTTGGTGGCCTTTCTTTGGACCACTTCAACATGATGTATAGAGATTAGGTGGCTGGCTATTTTCTTTTATAGGATCTGAATTGTAGAATTCTCTTGTAAAATAGATGCTTATTTTTCAAATATTAAGCAAAATTAATCTCTTTCTTCATTGGAATATACATGTGAATGAAATAAATATTTTGCAGTACATTAACATATTTTTCAGTCCTGCTTTATTTATTCATACTTTAAAAATTAATCTGAATGCTGGATATCTTTGGAGAATTTTATATAAAGTTATTTAGTTTTTCTTTCTGAATTTGTGCTTAAATTATCCAGTGCCTGTACCAAAAAATAATCCAATAGTGGTAAGGTTTTCCTGTAGGCAATCAGATAAATTACCTGAAATTAACTGACCTAAAACAGAGTTCCCAGAATATTTGTTTACAGTTCTTCCTCTCTAATAAATAGAATAATTAACTACACTTTTCTATTTGGAATAGAAGTTTTCAACTTGAGTTATATATTACGCTGTATCTTAGTGAGTTGGGAAGAGTCATGAGTCCTTTTTTGGATTCTACTAATTTGTAGAGTCTATACTACACTGATGTGGTAGATATTATGCAGATTAATCAGTGTAATTATGGACCCTCTAGATATATTGGATGCAGCCCTCACGATTACCAAGTAACTTGAACACAAGATGTTCTATATGGTTGTGGTAAGTTATTTAGGCCAAACAAATCTTCAGCTTGTAGAGGATAATATAGATGTTTTCAGTTCTCTAGCCTGAAAATTTCACACCTCATCTTTTTTTTTAGGTATATCTCCTTGAACTAAACATACACTAAAATCTCAATTACAACTACCTATTTGATCCTGTTATTTTATTTTTTTTAAAAAACCCAGGACATTGCATTTTTGAATAGATTTCCATTTTAGATATATTGTATGGCCTCTTTAGATATATAGCCCTTTAGCAAATTATATTGCTAAAAAACTATTCTGCATAGAACCAAGTATATCATGCACACATGATGAGATTCAGTCCTTAATTGTCATTAAACTCTTAAAGTGTTAATTATGTAAATTTTTATATGCTATGTAAGTTATTGTATGTTATCATTTAATGCACTATAGGTAACAACACTTAACCACACAAAGAAAACTCAAAGCAATGCTCAATGCACTAACCAGTGTGTTGGAACAGAAAAAACAAAGTCCACTTAGGCCATAAATGTATTCTTCCTGGCCTTCCATGCACATACAAGATACTATGTATGTAAAAAAACAGCACCTTACTAGTTTTATTTGTCCTTTTTTGAAAAGTTAGCATAAAATATAGTAAATTTGGAATTTCAATCAAGTATTATTATACTATATAGTATACCTCAAATTTTGCAATAATCAGACGTGTACTTTTTCTTAGGATTCAGAGTATCCCTTTATTTTTGTAACAAGGTTACATTTATATATTTAATGAATACATTACATTGACTGATCAAAGTTAGGATGGCTACAGTGATTTTGAGCATCAGCAATTTTTCACAGCATGACAAATATTTCATATTTTGATAATTGGATTGGAAATAATTAAATGCAAGATTACCACATCTCAGGTTATTATTATCTCCAATGTCTAATCAAAGACATCTATTACCTGATCACTGAATAATTATAATAATAGCATATTATTTAAATTATTCTAAACTCTTGTATTCCATCTAGGTCAGGATGGCTATCTAGTTGGCTCCCTGCATGGTGTCCTACATCACTTGTACACCTTAAAGATGCTGAAGAGAAAATTTTGAAATGTAAGCACTTGTGGTAAGAAATCTCGAGCAGCATTCATCTCAAGTTTTATTACTGACTCTTTCCTCCTCTCTTTTTTAATGGAGAAAAAAGTTGGAAGAACAATAATAATTAAGAAATAAGCTTTGGTGCAATTGAGAAACTGGTCCCACCAGGAAAAGAATTAGATTTTAATTGGGTAGCTAGTATATTAAACAAAATGGAATATAGCATGACCATAATTTGTTGCATTTCAGAGACTGGAAGGTTCAAACAAGTTGCACAGGTGAAAATTGGGAATAATGTAAGTGAATAACCCCTAAAATAAAGTTTGCTTTCTTATTTCACAAGTCATTCTGGACTGTGTTATAAGGTACAATAGTGAAAATAAAGGTATTCTCAGTGGATCTGATGTCAAAATGTGTTCATTGTGTTTGTAGAATTATATCAGTATAGACTGAATAATAAGGCTTGTATTTCTTCCTTCAGGTATTACAAGTACCTACAGTAAACAATATGTATACCTATCCAATGGAAATAAAATATGGACGCTTACATTCTCTCAGAACCTTTCACAGAAAACTCCACTTGTTCTTCTTCATGGGTTTGGAGGTGGTATTGGACTTTGGGCTCTCAACTTTGAAGATCTTTGTGAAAATAGGACTGTATATGCATTTGATTTCTTGGGATTTGGTCGCAGTAGTAGACCCCAGTTTGACCCTGATGCAGAGGTGGCAGAAAATCAATTTGTAGAGTCTATTGAAGAATGGAGACGGAAAATAGGATTGGATAGAATGATTTTACTTGGACACAACTTGGGTGGCTTCCTGGCAGCTGCTTATTCACTAAAATACCCATCAAGGTATATGAAATAATTTTTTTCCTTTTGTTCAATTGTATCAGATTCTTGTAGACTACCTGGAAAAATCCCTGCAGTTTTCTTTGTAAGGTTTTTCAGAAGTGGTTTGCTATTGCTTCCTTCCTCAGGCTGAGAGAAAGCAATTAGCTCAAAGTTACCCAGCTGGTTTTGTGTCTAAAGCAAGTCTAGAACATAACGGTCTCCTAGTTTCTAGTCTGATATCTTAACTACTACACCAAACTGACAAGCAATAGATAAAGAAAAATAATTTCTATGAAATAATAGGTTGGCAGAATAATATGATTATAGTATGTGTGCATTCTGGAACCAAATGGCTAAATTCTCTGCTTAGCTTCAATTTAACAGTTTTAAATATAGAATTTAGACATTGTTGCACTTAACTTCCATGTTATCATCTGAATGAATTTGCACCAAACATCTTTTTTGGGTTGCTTTTAAATATCTATGGAGGACATTTAAGGGAACCACAAAATATTGCTCCTCATGTGTCATATTCATGAATTTGACTTCAGAATAATTAAAGAACAAAAACTTGGAGGGGGAGGAAAGTGTGAAGGAATGGCAAATAATTACTGAAGATCATAAGTAATGGAGAAATGGTATACTTCAGGAAAAAGCTAACAATATTTGCATTAGAAAAAAATAAAGGTTTTCACTTTCATTTAATGGTAGTTTATGTTCTGTGAACTTAGCTATTCTTCAAAAAATCTTTTTTGATTGATTCATCTGGCACAGTAGTAGCCATAATTTATCAACTATAGATATCCAGTAGTATATTATAGTATTTATCCCAGAGATGCAAGATGAATTTTAGAATTTTTGTATGTAAATCATGCATTCTTTCACTGAGCTACAGAAGAAATTTTAGATTGGTATTATTACTTAAAAAACAAGAATAGAATTATTTGAACTGTGATTAAAGTTCCATTTTCTAGTAATACTGATTTTAATACATAAACAATTATTTTGAAATTAAAGTGAGAAGAGATAAATGTTTTATTTCTGTTATATTTTAAGAAAACAAATGCATCAACTCAATTATGTAAGAGTTTAAATGTTGATAATCATAAAGAATTGGAGTATGGAAATACACAGATACTCATAAAATGAGTTGCATTGTTGAAAAAGAAATCCAATAGCTAAATGTTACTGGCTTATTGACCAAGCAATTGGTATTGCCAGCACCTTTCCTCACTCAAGATATTGTTCTTAATTACTTTGTATATCTCCAAAATATAGTATAAGATCAGGGAGTGGGGCCTTCTCAACTTGTAAAGGTAATATAGCATTCTAATTTTGGACAGTCTACTTTTCAATCCAATATTGTAAGAAAAGATAGAAAAGCATTGAACAGAGAGCTCACCTCTTTACTTCAACTGAAAGTATGAGACAGAGCATGGTGGCTTACTCATCATCTGCACATGACAGTTCAGAACCCAGTGAATGCAGAAGTAAGATATGTCCATTTTGCAATTGGAGATTGAAGTTTTCTCTATTTGTACAACCTCAGAATTAGAATTTACCTTAATCTTAACCACAATGAGGTTGTAGAAAACTGTAGCTCATCTCTTTTCCATTTGTGAGGGTGATGGTGACAAACAAGACTGGAATCCCATGAACCCTTTGCAGCTGGATGACCTTAAGAGAAATGAATAGATTGGCCTATATCAGTGGTGGCGAACCTATGGCACGCATGCCAGAGGCGGCACTCAAAGCCCTCTCTGTGGGCATGCGCACCATGCCCCAGAGACGGCAACCATCCTTCAACCAGCGCCCGCTAACTTGCCGAAGTCCCATGTGGCCGGATGCATCCCAGCACGGCTGGTTTCTCTCCCCCCCGTCCCTCCTGGCCTCATATGCTCTCCTTTTCTCGGGCACAACCCACTGCATTGCCTCCTCAGCTGTCAACTGGCCGTCCAGCTCAGAGGCAGTTTCTCTGAATTGCTGGCGGCAGGCTGCAGAGCCCCAGAGTGCGCCGGTCGAGGGGCCGGCAGGCTGTGGCTGCTGATGGGACACTGTCAGCTCCCATGCGCTCGCTGGCCTCTGTGTGCGGGGCCGATGGTATCAGGCAGCAGCCGCCCCGGCCCCTACCTCGCCTTGCCCTGTGACAATGGCACCCCCGCCCTGCCTCGCCTTGCCTCACCCTGCAGGACGAGCTTCCTGCCCATTGCCCCACCTACCAGAGACCCCCTGGATCTCCCCCAACCCTGCCCGGCCCCCACAGGCGTCCCTCCCCACGATCAACATCGAGGTGACCACGCCCACCTTGGCCACACCCACCCAGTCTGCCATGACCACCACAGCCACGCCCACCCAGTGGGCCATGCCCACCTGGCACCCGGTGATAAATAAGTGGGTTTTGGGTTGCAGTTTGGGCACTCGGTCTCTAAAAGTTCACCATCACTGGCCTATATCTAAAGAAAAACAAAAATAGATTTTTATTTCAAGGTTGAGCAAAGTGGAGTTCCCAGATATTACTGAACTTCAGAATTCCTCAGTCCTAGTCAGAATTATTAGTGGTAAGATATTATGGGGATTGCAATCCAACACCATGCAAAAATGCTACATTATATCAGTTCGTATTTTGCTGAAATGCTGTAGACCATAAAGTTTAGATAGCTATTGAATGCCTTGGAATGTAAATTATTTTCTGGCAGTGTTTTTTTAAATGAATGATACTGATACAGTATATGACTTGATTGTTATGCAGCTAGAGTGAAAATATAGAGATTAGGTTCATAACTCCATAACATTGGAGAGGAATAATATCAACAAAGTTACAATATGCATTCATCCAAATCTAAATCATAAAGCACAATTTGCAAGCTGTATTATCTAAGTTTACATAGCAAAGTTGGAACAAAAAAAATAGTATATGATTTATTGTGATTTATTGTCATCAAATGTGAGGTTGGAGGATAGAGATCATCTCTAGTGCAACCTTGGCCATTCAGGAAACCAGTGATACAGTTGTTGATCAGTTTGTTTGTAAAGTTAAATCATAGTATTGTGCAAAAGGCCCATGTGTCCTCTCTCCTCTTCTATATCCAGTATTCTTGGGAGAAGCATTTGGGGTAAAGCAAGATTCCAACTTGCTATTTCATCTCTACTGAGGGCCGTGGTTAACATGAAGTATGGTTTTAATAGATGGGTGATTTTTGTCCAGCACGTACTTCCCCCAAAGCCCAATTTATTTCCAGATTGCAATACTAAATGTAATGGAAAAACTTCTCTTTGTACTAGGAAGGGTTCTTTCCCCTAGTTTTTACTTCATAAAAGTTGTGATATAGGCCTCCATGGGATTCAATGTATCTGTTTTGTATATTTAAACCGTACCTCAAATTTAAGAAAAGAGCAAAAGAAATGAGCCAAATATCTCTCCTTCATCGGTAAGGCTGTTGTCACTAGACTAAGCCTCAGAGGGTACATGTAAAAAAAAAAAAAGAGTCTCTTCCTCTGATGGAATTGTCCATCCAGGTTTAAATTCAATTCACTGTAATTGTCTATATATAGTGCTATATATCGTATACTATCATAAACCCTCTGTAGGTGTTCAGCTGTCTGGATAAAGAATTAGTCTCTGCCCAATTCCATTTTTGTTTGGACTTGCGTACACTCATTAAATAACTCAGTCTGATAAAGCAAAATCTCAGATTATGTGAATGACTGCTAATTAAATATGAGGACAACTCACTTTCAGATAATTGTGTGGATAGAGAAAGGTCAGAGTCAGCATACATTTTCTACCCTGTACCCAGTTTGAAGTGGTTAATAATTCTCTAACTGAACTTTGAAACATAAAATATATATTCTTATTCTATATAAATCTATTTCATGGGTACATACCAAGTGATTAAAGTTGAATCTGAAATAAGATTTGCACTGTTTAAATTATTTCCTTACTGATGAAATACCTTAACTTTTATCCCTGCAGAGTAAAGCATCTTCTATTAGTGGAGCCATGGGGTTTTCCAGAAAGGCCTTCCAATGCTGAGCATGAGAGGACTATTCCAATATGGATCAAAGCACTTGGAGCCATTTTGAGTCCATTTAATCCATTGGCTGGTCTCAGAATAGCCGGACCTTTTGGTGAGTACTAACCTAGCTTATTTTGATTGTACTGCCAAAGACATCATTTTTGAAATTGCAGTAAGGTGGACTTTAGGTCATCTATATATTTAAGCACTCACCTGGTCAGGTTAGAATGTGGAATCCCATTAAGGTCATTGAGCAAAGTGATTGAGGAAGAACGATGCACTTAGATCTTCCTTTGCATCCAGCATAGAAAGGCAGCAGGCTCCTGCCGGAGAATATAAATGCTCTGCCAGACACAGTCTGGTAATTTTGGGAACGAAGTGCTTTAGATATTTATTGGCAAGGATAAATATGATGGCCAAAATTTCCTGTTTAGCATTAATTTTCTCTTTCTCTTGAAGTTTACACTTCAAATGGATTTTTTTACTGAAGAGTTTATAAATTGGTTGGATGCTTAGGGACCAAATAGAAATAAAATACCTGGTGGCTGAAAATATTTATAGGTATAATAATTATTATAATATATCATAATATATTGGATCTTGTGCTAATGTAAGCATAATTTATTTAGAAGAAAATGTAGCTTGTCAGATCAGGAATGTTACAATGCTAGCTAATTGTTATTTTTTGTTCGTTAAATTGTATTTAAATAAAATAATAGTTTCTTTAATTCCCATATGAATGACTGATAATGATAGTATCAGGCAATGTATTTCAGTGCTTGAAAAAATAGAATTGTTATTTTTTGTACATTTTGAAATTCCCCTCCTTTGTCTGCTATTAGCAGTATTAAACTCTTGATTTTGATATATGATAGGATTGAGCCTGGTACAACGTATAAGGCCAGACTTTAAGAGAAAGTATTCATCTATGTTTGATGATGATACAGTCACCGAATATATCTATCACTGTAATGTGCAATCACCAAGGTAAGTGTAAGATTTTAAAAATCTTTATATTAATTAATTATTCTCTAAAGCATGGATCTTTAAATAATCAAACAGTGTACAATAGTCTGCAAAGATAGGAGATGTTGTCATTTGCAGAACTACAGTCCTCAAAAAAAGAAGTAGAATAATTTTCTATAAATAGAAAATCACTTTTATAAAATACATGAAGAACTGACCATGCTGATTATTAGAGGAAGAATGAAATGGAGTGTTTTCAAAAAGGGCATTATAAAAGGGACAAGTAAATTCTCTACTAAATCATTTTCTTGCATGGTGTTTTCTTAACACGTGAAGTCACCATAAATCTTCAGCCTTCACTATTGTTTAATAAGCTGTTTGTAAAGATGACAGAAAAGCCCTCTTAAGCTATTACCTGAAGAATAAAGAGCTGACAGGTGTGAGGTTCCTTTGAAATCTGATACATTTTGCTAAGAAAGTGTCAACTTCATAATTGTTTTAATATTTTTCTCTTTTATTCACTCATTCTTCTTCCAACATTCACAAAGGACAGTGTGATTTTTAAAAAGGTGTCTCTGTTCATGAAGTCATGTGTGGCAAAGGCTATATCAGACTTATGCTATTAACGTTCCATAGAACTAGAAAGAAATAAAGATATTTATGTTAAATTATCTGGGATTGTATTAAACAGACATGACAAATGCTAGACAAAGTATGTGTGTGTGTGTGTGTGTATGTATATGTATATATATACACACACACACATACACACATATATATATACACACATGACAAATGCTAGACAAATTTTAACTTGGTTAATATATATATACATATACATACATACATACATACATACATACATACATACATACATACATCCAGCAATATTAGATGATGTTATGTTAAGAAATAATAATAAAAGTCAGGTTTATGATATTTAGCAAATACAACTTGTTTTTTTCATTGATGTCTTTAAGTGGTGAAACTGCTTTCAAGAACATGACAGTTCCCTATGGATGGGCAAAAAGGCCAATGTTGCAGAGAATTGCTCATATGCATAAAGACATTCCTATCACTGTGATTTATGGAGCAAGGTCATGTATAGATGGCAATTCTGGAGCCACCATCCAGTCCCTGCGACCAAATTCCTATGTGAAAACAATAGTAAGTGAGACATTCTAGTCATTATTTTATTCATTTTGTTTTTAGTCATCCTGTTGCAAGGTGACCACTCTAATTTATCTTCTTTGAACATTTGGCAATTGGTAACAGATACTTTTTCTCTAACTATTACTGAAACTTAAAAGTGGTCAAATTACTATCCTGTCAGTCTTTTAAAATATGTTTTGGACATATATTTTTCTTTTTGATCCTCTATGCATAAATATGAAAGACAAAGCAATTCAGCATGCATAAATATGAAAAACAAAGCAATTCAGCATGAATTGAATTGATGCATGGATGCATTCATTTGACTACAGATCTATAACCACTGCAATACTAATAGATCTTACTCACTTCTCCATGATGAACAGATGAGAAGAAGATTGTAAATGGACTGGAGAATTACTTATTCACAAAAACCTCAGTTCTGTGTTCAGGTGGATCCTCCCTATATCCTTCAGATGTTTTTTTTTTTTCTGTGCCCTCAGGTCAGAGTTAACTGCTGATAACTACCTCAGCTAGTTTCTGCAGTTTTCTTGGCAAGGTTTTTTGAAAGTAATTTGCCATTGCCTGCTTCCTATGGTTGAGAAAGAATGATTGGCCCATCTGGGTAATCCAGCTGGATTTGTGCCTAAAGCAGGATTAGAATTCAATTTCTGGTTTCTAGCCTGATGCCTTATCCACTATACCGATTCTCCCTTCAAATTTAGATATATTGAATCTCACAAGGACCCAAACCAGATTTTTCAGTTATTCTGTTTAGCTTTTCTGTTAAATACAGGTAGTCCTTGATTTACGACCACAATTGAGCCCCAAATTTCTGTTGCTAAGTGAGACATTTGTCAATTAAGTTTTGCCCCATTTTACGACCTTTCTTGCCACAGTTGTTAAATGAATCATTGCACTTCTTAAATTAGTAACATGATTGTTAAGTGAATCTGGCTTCCCCATTGACATTGCTTGTCAGAAGTTTACAAAAGGTGGTCATATGACCCTAGCACACCGCAACCATCATAGATGTGAGTCAGTTGCCAAGCACCTGAATTTTGATTACATGACCATGGACATGCTGTAGTGGTTATAAGTGAAAAACAGTCATAAATCACTTTTTTCAGTGCCGTTGTAACTTTGAACGGTCACTAAATTAACTGTTGCAAGTTGAGGACTGACTACCTGTATATCTTAATGTATGCAAATAAAAGTCAATATGAAATCTTATTTTTGCATGGATACCCTTTAAGTGTGTAAGAAATAATGAATAAATTTTGTATTAATTTCTTAGATCCCCGTTTTGTTTTATTTCTAAATACACCACAACTATCCCTTTTTTCAAAGCACAGAGAAAATAAAAAAGCAAAACACTTCCTTGCCTGTAGGCTTAAACTTTCTTTTTAAAAAGTCTGAGAGAAAAAGAAAAATACGAACTTACAAAAATAGGGAATTCAATTCATAGTGTATTGTCCTAGAAACACAAATTTGCTCATATTTTTGTAAATGTCAGTAATGTTATAAAACATTGATGTTTGAACGTTAAATTGATTTTTTTTCTCCTCTCTTCGATTTTCAGGCTATCCTTGGTGCAGGTCATTATGTATATGCGGATCAACCTGAAGACTTCAACCAAAAAATAAATGAGATTTGCAATTTTGTGGACTGAAAGGTTCTGCTTTTTGAAAAAAGAGGCTATAGATATAATTCAAAGCAATACTTTATAGTATATTATAAAAATGTTAAGGAAAAGCTGAAAAAAGAACTGATTTTTTTAATGCACTCTTTTAAGATGTTTTCACACTTAAAACTATGCAGTGCCTTTTATTGTAATGGGCAGATTTAAAAATAGTTGTACATTTTAGTTTGATTCTGTCTCTGTATATTTAGAGGAAATATTATATTTCAATATGTTTTAAAACATTTTAAAACTGGAATTTTAAAAGTGGAATTTTGCAAAATTAATATGCAGGAATTTCTATAGCAAAATTACAGTTTGGCTACTTCTTGCAGTACCTATATATTGCAGTCTTCTATCTTGAACTTTTTAAGAAGATGAAAAATTTACTGAGGATTGAGTCAGAAGAATGCATATAGGATGTCATTTCATTGTATTTTATGTGGAAGAATTTGCCAAAATTATAATAGTGATCACTCAGGAAAAAGAGCACAAATAGAAGGAAGAAGAGTTGGGAGATTCTGATTTTTATTTTTTGCTCTTGTAAATGTTGTTTACTGTGCTAATGATTGAATGCTTCGTGTCCTAAGTTCTAAGGTATTAATACCTTAGAACACCTAAGTTCTAAGGTAACAATATTGTTCCACTTGCTTTTAAAGAGAAGTTGCAGAATACAGTGGATTTGACACTGATTATTGCAAGATATATTGATGACCTGATTCTCAATTTTTACATGCTACTAAAATTCAATCATTACATAGGTCATGGATAAAGTACTGTAGTAATTAATATTTGGATGAATATGTATTTTCTTACAAGTTTTTGGAATTTTGAGCCAGTCTAACTGTAAAACAATATAATCTTGTCAAAACTAGGTATCTTAGAAAAAGGTATATTTAATTAATTAATAGAAATGAATCTGAAAATGTTATCTTACCTCAGAATTTTTAAAATAAAGTGTCTTAATACAGTATTTTAAAGAGCTTATTAAGGCCCTGGATTCTTTTTTTAAAAAGAACACTAAGGTAAGCTGGTTAAATAAATTAAGCAGAATTGTAACCATAAAAGCAAATTGAGAAGTTTGTAAACCAAATGTCTACACAGTAACTTATTGGTTAACTTTTTAATGTTGAATTAACAACTGAATCTCTGTTTTTTCTTATATAAAACTTTTTAGCATATGTGATGTAATTCTTGAAAAGTAGTTATTGTGCTGTTTTTAAAAGTGTCACAATTCTCTTAATATATAAATCCATTTAGAAGTTCATTTTGAACATACTGATCTTATTCCAGGTGCTTCGAAATACTAGATCTCTAGATCATTGACAAAATAAGATTTAAGATTTAAAAAATTGAAAACAAAATCCTTCCAGAAAATCTTTGTGCCAAGATAATTGGCAGAATACAATAACTAAAAACAATTACTGAAAATTAATTGTGTTACATCTGGATCTCTCTAGTTTATCAGATCAGGGATGGCCCAGCAATTTTCCAATATGGAAAACCTGATCCATATTCCAGCTATGTTTGAAGAGTATGGAAGAATAGCAGAATATTCTGCTTTTCCCCTGAAGGTTCTGTCACTGGAATAATATACTTTGTGCATTTTTCTGTGGTTTCATTAGGTTACATTAGATAAATTGATACAACAGCATAGACTGCTCACTATCTTCCGGGTATTCTATTGTCAATAACATCTCATTTATTATTAAATATTTATGTTATATAAATAACATAAAAATACCATCTAATTTGTTATCTAATTAGTAGTATTTTTATGTTATTTATAAACTCCATGTTTATAAGAATAGAGCTGATGTCCTTTCTCAATACCTGCAGTTGTTGTCTTGTGAAAAGAAAAATATAACAATCTGTTTCAGATCCTAGTGATGGAAATTAAGCAATGACCAGAATAACAAAACCACAGGGAGTGCTGAAATGTGCCATTTTGACTGGAACTATAAAGCTTCTTTATAAATATATTGATCAAAATATCAAAATAATTCTGACTATGAGTCATCTATACCAGAGGTAGGCAACATATTAAATTGCAATGAAATCTTGGTAATATGGCATAGTCTGGGGACTCCCTGATATGGGAGGAGGGCTGTGCCTCCCAAGGGAGAGAGTTGGGGACAGTGTGTGTGTGTGTTTTGTAACTATTGGATATGTGTGTGTGAGTGATTCAGTAGGTTCCCACTTCTTGAATAACAGTAAAATGAGAGGAGTGGGTTGAACACCACCTGGCCAGTTAATGAGAAAGGCCAGCCAATGGGATAGTGAATAGTGGATAGGGTTGGCAGCTTGGGCCACTTGGATGGTGCTGAGAGCGAGCTAAAGCATTGTGGGGGGGCTCGCCTCCAACCTCTGAGTTGTTAGGAGATTTGCTGATTGATACAAAAGGAAAGAGAGGTTCCTGCATAAATGAGCTAAGAGGTCAAAGTTGGGGGGATGCATACTCTGGAGGGTGGGCTTTGGCCAAGTCAGTATATTTGGTTAGTGATGGGCATGGGATGTTTTGATGGGAGACAGAGGCCAGGCAGTTTCTGGGGAAGATGACTCCCCAAAAATCATCTGTTAACATTGAGGTGAGGGCCTGCTCCACAAGTTGCTGCTGAGAACCTGCTTCTGAAGAAAAGTGCCAATTAGCATTGGGGTCTAACAATATTAGGCAACCATGGGGATTGCTGGTGGCTTGAGGGCACTACACCTTGTTAACTTTTTGGTCTTGTTAATTTTTTAACTTTGATTTCTTTTTTAACTTGTAAATCTGAACTTCTTTTTAAAATTTCTTTTTAACTGTGCTTTTACACATGTTTTTATATTATTATGTTTGTATATTACCTTAGGTCACTTAGGTGAGGCAGGCAGTATAGAAATTGGATGGATGGATGCCCAACACAAATAAAATACCATTTGTCCTCATTTATCTTATATAAGCAAATTACAGCAACTATTTGCAATATAATTCCCACCAAGATGAATGAAATCTATCAGGTACTCTGAAAATGCAGGGGGTAATACTGCTATGTATTAAATCTTAAGGCGACAGAAACAATAGGTCTATTGATCAGCACTAGTAATAGTTGTTTGTGGTGGCTGGGGTTAACTACAATATTTAAAAGCATACATATCAAAAATGGCTGTTGCTGAGAATGTCTTAATCCGTCTTTTCAATCTATTGCTCTAAAAATATGTTGGGACCATAATTCCCAGGCAGTATGGTTAGATAGGCTAGGAATTCTGGGAAATTTAGCCCCTATAATCTGGAAAGCATTACACTATGAAAGGTAGTCTTAATCCATGTATTAGAGAAGACTATTATTACTGGTTCCTGAAGAACTCTGTGTAGATATAATTGATTGACTAGATATGATGATGTTCCATCACTGAGGGAAAAAGCTGCATTCTTAGCCTTAGTGTTCTATCAAGATGAATTCTCTGCCCTTTTTTAAAAGATTGGCAACTGAATAGAAAGGTTATGCTTTGTTCTCTGTCTTAGTTCATGATTTCCTAGACATGCAGCAGACCGGGTGATAGAAAACAGTTTCTTTATCAGTAATATCTACTTGTTCCTTAAAGATATAGCTAACTGCCAAGATTAAACTCTCAGAGTAACCAATGCTTTTCTTTCCTGAAACATGACAAATAAACAACCTCTTGAACTACTTTAGAACAAGATCTTTACACATTGTGCTTTGTCTGTTAAATTCTGAATCAGCTGCACCTCACCACCACACTTGCTGTGATATAGAATGCAATAGCAAAGTGACAGACAGCTATAGTGCATTCAGAAAGTATTCAGACTCTCTTCACTTTTCTCAATTTTGTTATGCTGCAGCCCGATTCTAAAGTTGTTGAAATTTGCCTTCTGGTTTCGCGCAGTAGTTCAAGTAGCTGAGGGATTGCGGGGCTCTGCATCCTACAGCCGATTCTTCTCTGGGGACCCTAAATGGGCCAAAAGTCAACCCGAAGAGGCAGCAAAGAAGGAGGGAAGCCCCGCTGACCTTGGGGAGATGGCAGTCGATCCGGTCGGTGGGGGAAAGCCTTCCAGAAACCACCAGAAGAAAGGCTAGCATCACTCCAGTGTCTAGCCTAAGCTACAAGCAGCCGAAGCCAAAAAGCACTAAGTTAAGCTTAATTATAAACAACGTGTTTGGAATTGGATAAGAATACCCATTCTCTCTCTTCTACTTGATTGATTTCCTGGGGGAAAAAACCCCAAGAAGCAAAAATCCTCCGAAAGTGAGAGGAGGGGTTTTTTTGCTCCACCCTCCCATAGACGGAAGTAGTGAAATCATTTTTTATGGGGGACAGAAATACAATGAAATGAAATGAATATAAGACTTAAATCTGGATAAGAGTGAAATTGGTGGAATTACTTAAGATTTTCTTGGCATAAGAATATTGATGAAAACAGAAAGCAATTGTTTGGAAAACTGAAAAATGAACTGGTGCTGACATCTAGTAATGGATGAAAATATATAATTATGGCTGCTCTAAATACAGAAACTGGCAAGCCTAGGAAAAGGTAACTTGTTATTGTGACCTTCAACATTTTAACTAAACAAAGAACAGCTATAATAAAAGAAAACATTTTGGGCTATCTATAAAGCAAGAATTATAAAACTTAGGGAAAAAAATTGACCTTGGATTATAAATACTTATTGAATTGTGACTTTAAAGTTGTTTGCAGAGAAAGGAAAACTTTGATTTTTGGCTATTATGGAACATCAGAGATCTGCATAAAAAAATATATCAAGTAAAAAATACTTTCCAGGAGGAAATGTATGCTATGTTGCAACTAATACAAATGACAATGACTTCAAACCATGAGGAAATTAAAAAAAACTTTGAAAATTTAAATGAACATATCTTCAATTTAACTTCACAACAAAAAACTCTCAAAATAAAAAAGAGTGATCAGGTAAAGCAGATAACAACATAAACCAGAGGAAAGAGATTCAAAGATGGAATCCATCAATGGAAGGAACTATGATTTAACCCAAGCGGAGAAAAACTTGCAGGAAATATTGGACATAGAAAAGACAACTTATA